GGAAATCGACGCTAGCCCCGGTACATGGACGCACACCGCCGAATTAATGTGCTTAGTGTGGCTGCATGCATTCGACTTTATACAATCTGTTTCCAAAATTTGAATTATATAAATTCGGATTAATCCCATAGTGTAGACATACCCATAATGGAAATGTCAGCACCCTCCTCCCTCCCAGCAGCTAAGGATAGTAAGAGGTACTAGTAAAGTTATGGCCCCTGGACCTCCCTTGTAAGGCCTTCCAACTCTTGTCTTTCCCATCAACCTCTCACCAACAGGTTTAGTCCTCCTACAAAAAGGCATCAGGTACGCTTTTCAAGCCCTGGTTTTAAATGATTAAACAGAACAATATTGATGTAGCATTTATCTGTTCAGGAAAACCCCTCTTGGCACATGATAGGGCTGCAGATTTTTCTCAGTGTTCCATCCTACAAATGAACTGAACAGTTGAGGAAACAAACCTTAAAGGCTGAAAATTTCCCAAGCTATTTTTTGGAACTAGTATGCCATAATAAGCAAACCTCTTCTCAGACTAAACTGAAGGCTGGCAGTTTTCACAGATGACGTAGAAAACAGGCATTTCACTATAGCAATAATGAAACTCCAGGGAATATGGCTAACAATACGTGAAAGTGCTTGGCTGCACCTCATGCCTTGTAATTCTCCAAAGGTGCGATTACCACTCCTCTCTTGGGCATTATTGCTGCCTTCAAATTACAACACATCTTTTGGGAATTAAAGAAATATACCATTCACACAAATATGTATCGTATAAGCCTCTTCTACTGCAAAGCTGCTGGTACTGTAGAAAAATAGCAATTTACATGGGTTTGGTGAAACAAAAAGTGATTTAGGAATAGTAACAGTAGAAACTGTATTCTAAATTAGCGCACATAAGCACAGAATTTTAACAGCCAGGGTAATTAACGACTGGAACACCTTACCAAAAGATATGGTGGACTTATCATTTGAAAGTCTTTAAATCAAAACTGCATATCTTTCTAATGCACACTCCAGTTCCACCACAAATTATTGAACTCAACACAGGAATTACCGGGTGAAATTCTATGGTCTGTACTATGGAGGAAGTCACCATAGATCATAAAGGTCCCTTCTGGTCCTAAAATATATGAATCTATTGTAGTAATTGCTAAAAATACAACAAGATTTCTATTGAAAAGAAAAAAAAATCAACCTGCTTTTGACCATTAGAGGACACAACATCCACCATTTCAAGAAATAATAACTGCATTTGAGTCTAACATATACCTCTTTAGATCCAGCAAACAGAGGAATGTCATGAAACGGGGAAATATATTTACCCTCCGCATTCTCTGTGAGACAAAAAAAATTGTTACATATCTAAAGCAAACATGCTGAAAGATGTCCACATTACTAATAAATATGTCCCTATTGCTTCCATCATTATAGACCGACAAGGGTCTATGAGTATTTTAAATTGAAACACTGCTTTGCCGGGGGGATTTATGTTGTAACAAAGTCTTTTCTGGAGTCAAACTCCAAATTTTACGATAAAATGGTCAATTTATACATCAACCCCTGCAATAGGGGGAAGGGATAGCTCAGTGGTTTGAGTATTGGCCCCCTAAACCCAGGGTTCTGAGTTCAATCCGGGGGGGGGGGGCACTTAGGGATCTGGGGCACAATCAGTACTTGGTCCTGCTAGTGAAGGCAGGGGGCTGGACTCCATGACCTTTCAGGGTCCCTTCCAGCTCTATGACATAGGTATATCACCATATATTATTATTAAGACAGAAACAATTGTTATGCAAATGTTGTACAAATATGATGTTACATTCCAGCAAATAAAAGACTACGTTTAGCCATAGGTAGGGCCCTACCAAATTTATGGCCATGAAAAATGCATCACAGACCATGAAATCTGGTCTCCCTCTGCAAAATCTGGTCTTTTTTGTGCTTTTACCCTATACTGTACAGATTTCAGAGGGGAGACAAGCATTTCTCAAACTGGGGGTCCTGACCCAATAGGGAGTTGCAATTTCTATCAGTTGCTGATAAAAATCAGCATATTTTAGGGAGGTTGTGGTATTGCCACCCTTACTTCTGCACTGCCTTCAGAGTTGGACGGCTGGAGAGCAGCCAGGCACCCAGCTCTGAAGGCAGTGCCCCACTAGCAGCAGTGCAGAAGTAAGGGTGGCAATACCATAACATGCCACCCTTACTTCTGCTAATGGCAGCTTTGCCGTCAGAGTTGAGCTCCCAGCCATCTGCCGCTGCTCGCCAGCTGCCCAGCTCCGAAAGCAGGGCCACTGGCAGCAGCAGTTCAGAAGTAAGGGTACTGCAACCCCCCCTACAATAACCTTGCCACCCCCCCACAAACTCCTTTTGGGGTCAGGACCCCTACAATTACAACACCGTGAAATTTCAGATTTCAACAGCTGAAATCATGAAATTTACAATTTTTAAAATCTTCTGTGTAATTGACCAAAATGGACAGTGAAATCGGTAGGGGCCTACTCATAGGCCACTGTTCAAACTGAAGTGACAGTTGCTAGATCAAGCCTATCGCACCCAACCTCGAGTGGAGTCAGCGTGACAGATTTCTGACAGGGTGCAACTGACCATTTACATCTGTCCATTTCTCCCACAGCAGTTTAAAACAGAAGTGACTCCACTGAACGTAATGGAATGACAGTGGTATAAAAATCAGTATTAAGAGCAAAATCAGAAAGTGGCTTTTTAAAAATCTTCATAACTATTAAAAAAAGGAAGTGTGAAATTGAAAGTAACCACACTAACTTTTTGTTTGCAATGTTGGTGTAACTATGTTGTCCCAGGGCATTAAGGAGACAAGACGAGTGAGGCAAAAGAAGCTGGTCCAAGAAAAGATATATTTCCTCACCCACCTTGTCACACTAGGTTTTTCTGTCTTGACAGGTCTGAGAGCTTCGTTCACACTTTTATACATGCTGACTGCTCAGCAGGCCCTCAGTAAAATAGCTCTCCTCATTTCAAATGCAAATTTCCCTTTACTACAAGCACATTTGGAGCACTCACTATTATTACATCATAAGACTGAGTCTACACACTGTTATTCCTGCCAAAGTAATTAAACTCATGCACTGCTTTAAACGTTTCCTACACTTTTTTTTTTAATTTGTAATTGTTTTCTCTTCTTCATTCTGGGTTGTGTGTTTTGGCCCATAGTGGGGCCGTTGGTGGCTGAAAGGCCCTCACTGCCACAAGTCTCACCCAGTGGGACACAAGAGACTCCTTTGTACTGGATTCATTTTAGTGTATTTTTTAAAAAAAAAATTAAAGTCACCCTCTGGGGAGACAAGCCTTCAGCTGTTTCTCTGGAACATTCAAATTCCCTGCAGGGCTGGAGACAGAGCCTTCTGCACACGCCAACTCTCCAGGCCTAGGAGGGGCTAATGCATCTAGCCACATCCTACTCTTGATTCATTTGTAGCAAAAGCCTGTAGGTTTCAACCCAATGCTCCAGCGCCCCGGGGGAGGTGCGGCAGCAACAGGGGGTGCCTATGTTAACGCCCCTGGCCAAGTTTCCTAGTTGAGCTCTAAAGCATGTCCTGGAGAGGGGGGATCCTGGCTTTCTCCATTCACCCCCTTTAGGGAGCGCCCCCCAATGACGGCTGGCAGGGGGCAGCGTCCCTGAGCTCGCAGCCAGCCCCGCGTTCCACCGCGCCCCCCGCACCTCCCCGGCCAGAGGCTGCGGCGCCTGGAGCCCCCGGGGGGCTGCTACTTACTAAAGTAGAGGCGGTACTCGGGCGAGTGGGGCCGCCCCCGCTGCTCCGTGCTGCACTGGGCCATGGTGCTGAGCCAGCTGCAGCGCGGCAGCGGCTGCCCCAGCCGCCTCCTCCTTCCCGCTCCGGAGCAGGAGCAGCTCCGAGCCGAGAGCAGCAACAGCCCCCGCAAGGCCTGCCCGAGCCCCGCACGCATGCTTGTGCCTCCCACAGCTCCGTCCGGTTCCTGCGCCCGCCCGCCCGCTCGGCAGGGGGACAGTCTGAGCATGCTCGGTGGCCGCCGCTGAAGCCGCTGCCCTGGCTGGCTCTTCCCCGGGCGCTGCTACGCCCTGGTGCAAAAGTGGGGTGCAGAGGGGCCGCATGAGGCGCAGGGAGGGGGCAAAAACAGGGGCAGCCGGAGTAGTGGGAGCCAGGTCTCTCGCACCCCCTAAGAGCGATCAGCTAGGAATGTGCGAATGGCAGGATGGGCTCACCCCTCTGACACCTGTTGGAGGGGCTTCTGGGGCAGCTCGCGTACCCCTGCTGCTGGCCATGTCGTCAGCCCCAAGTGGGCCACATTTTTGGGTAGGCCCGTCCCCCAAATCATGAGATTGGCTTAAAAATAAGGCAATAAACGGGGAGTTTTTATTTGCTTTCTTGCTCTGGAGCCTTTGGAATATCAAACTTTTGATTTCAAGCCCTAGACACGTTTCCTAGTGAAAACCCAGAGTCTCGCGTAACCAGGTGACTGCGGGGAGTGGAGTTCTAAGAACACTAAATAGTGCAAACTTCGCAGCTAATGCGTGACTCATGAGAATTGCAAACACCGTTGATCTAGGTCAATGTCTGTCTAGCTAATTTCTATTTAAAAAAACTGGATATAACTGGCCGCTAGGGAGGTGATTCAATGTCCTCCTCCCACCTCTTCCTTGAAGGGTCAAACTTTTTCATACATGACGATGCTCTGCTTAGAAAAAATGCGTGGCCAACTTCATCAGTTTCAAGGACGGGGGAAAAGATCACGAAACAAACTAACTAACCAAAAAAAAAAAATTACCCTACTAAATAAAGAACAAAAGCACAAAACCGGGGTGGGAAGTCAGCGGTTGTCAGAAATTGGAGCCTCTAGGCTCGGGAAAATATAGCTTCTTTTTTTTAATTGGAAGCAAAAGATTATACATAACCCAAACCCAGGGGTGTGTACACCACCTACTGCTTGGACAACATGGGTTGGGCTGCAATATCTATTTGTACAGGAGCTCTACAGCTGCTGATCCCAACTCAGATCCTTATGGCTTATGTTTAAACAGATCCACGCTGATCCTTAAATTAGATCCATCTGTCCTCAGAGTTGAACTGGTCCTACGGCTGATTCCCTACTGATATTACTCCATAAACTGATCTGCACAATGTTGATTCCTTTAGATTTTGACACCCCTAATGATGATCTTTATTGATCCTTAAAGAGGATCTCTACTGGTTTTGATTCCTGTATAAAAAGAATTAATAAACACGTAGCACTTCTGTAGTGCTTTTCTACCATAAATTTAAAAGCCTTTTATAAAGAAGGGAAAGTCTCACTGCCCCATTTTACAGATGGGAAAACTGAGGCACAGCATAAGGAAGATAAAGGTTGCCCAAGGTCACACCATCAGTCAGTAACATAGCTTAAAATAGGACCCAGGTCTCTTGAGTCCCTGTTTAGTATTGTAGCCGATTACTCTTGGGCTCAGATTTTTAGAGGCAGAACATTGCCTAGTGAAATTTTCAAGTTGGATGACTCCATGCTGCCTAGACTCCCTGTAGAGGGATATTAAAGTGCCTAAGGAAGGGACTTTTTGGAAGCCAGCAAGTTGAGTGGGGAGCCGCATACACCAGCCAGGAGGACAGGGAGACGAAAGGAGCATAAGGGCTCAAGTGACTGAGCTGGTATGCCTGGCCGATACAGAAATAAGCAGCTCCCTCCACTCAGGATCTTCAGCCATGAACCTTCTCCTGGAGTTAAGCACCTAAGCCAGCTCAGCCACTTAGCAAGCCCATGCCCTGGCAGGTGAAAAACACACACTCACACTCAGTACCTCTCTCACACTCACCCAAAGATTCCCTGTGCTCTCATCTGTCTTTTGCGCGTGCTGTGCTACTCTCCTACCTATTGGTCGCCTGCATCCAGCCCCGCTGCTGCAGCAACTGACACATATCAGGCAACAGACACATATTACAGCACACCTACAGGATTGGGATCTGCTTTCAAAATAGGCATTTTCCTACCTACTTTAAAAATCCCACTTTGGGGCCTCCAGGGCTTTGGCTGAAGGTAAGGCTGGGCACAGCTCCTTCACTGTGGGATGGCAGTAGTGCTTAGGCTGTTTTGAAAATGCTGATCAGTGAAAACTGAGGCATCAGACAACATCAGCGCTGCAGTTTTGAAAATGTCAGGGTACCAACATGGCGGACTTTGATGCCTATCCAGGTATCTAAATCCCTTTAAAATGTGGCCTTTGATCCCCAAAAGTGATTTTGATCCCTAATCTGATACTGATCTCAAAAGCTGATCTCTATTAACCACTTATTACACTGGCTGTCATACACTGTACTACTCCATCTCAAACATTATGGGCAATGATTTATTTTCAGTGGAGAAGCCATGTCACTCGTTCTAAACATTCACTGATTTCCCAGACTCTTTGTTTCCTGCTCGATGTTGTGGTTCACATCTTAAAAGCAACAGGCCTGTCTGTTCTATATGGACACTAAAGGTTCCATGGAACTTTTTGTAAGAATAAGGGATTTTCCCAATGGCCTTGTCCAATATTTTCTACTGTTGTGCAGTAGTATGCTAATTAGCTGCCACCATACACCTGGCTGTATTTTAGTAGTGCCTTATTTACTGTATGTAGTATGCAAAAACTTCTTGGAATTTTTCATGGCAAAAAGGGCTAGGCAGAAATAAAATATTTGTATTTTTCTGTGATTTTTCATGATCATTTACTAAGTATATTCCAACAGAGTCTTCACAATGACATGGAGGCTGTATTGCAGGCCAAGGGACATTCATCTCCATCTCCATAAAAGTTGCTAAATCATACCCAGCACTTCACCAACCCAGCATGCCTGTATTCTACAGCAGGCCAGCAACATGAGTTGCAAGGAGTTGGCATCTTTCTTCACTGATATCAGCAGACCTCCTCTTTTCAGACACACCTCAGCTATAACTTTCTGAAATTTTTACATTTTAGGACGGAAACTCTCTATGCATAGCCTCTGCTTGGAGCTTGTTTATTTTTAAAGTTTAGGAAAAAAAACATTTCTACAGTTTTTAAATGTGAAGAAAGTGAAAAAATATAGACTTCTCCCACTATAAAAAAGTATTGTAAACTTTCTTTGATTAGGTCTACAGCTGAAATTGAATGCTAACATGTCATGGAAATAACTCTCACTGGGAAGTTCTTTCTCTTGTTTCAAAGGAAGCTGGATTATATTTGACCAATTTGGGAGCCTTTGAAAGTCACCTACTGAGCACAGTCAGTTTTTTGCTAAACTTGTGAAGTTGACTGCTAAGGGAGGATCCCAGGACATATCATTCTGCTTGCCTAATTTAGCTATGTAGTGAAATACAAAGCTGTGAATTGTTATCAATACCTGGGGCTGGAGGAAGGGCCTTGTAAAATCCATAAATAAGGGTGGGTTTTTGTGCACTTTGTAAGGTAAGCATGGTGTTATCTAGGGACTTACCTTGTAATGTTCAGTCAGCAGAAAGCTTTCAACAAAATGTAGAGGGGTTCCAGGTTGTGCATAGTACCCTGCCTGTACTGTCAGGGGAGGCAGAGACCAAGGCTATTTTAGCACACTTTAGGTGCTATAGAAATAATAATAAAGCTCCAAATAGACTTCCTATCCATATATGTTAGTATTGTTAAAGTTATACACAAGATTCCTAAAGTCATATTTAGGTAAGGAACCTCCTCATTATTAGCATGAAGTTTCCCTCAGTTCTATGAGATTTTGAATCCTTAATACAAAAGGGAGTTTCTGTTCTGCATTATATATTAAGCAAATGTGTTGGAAGTATTGAAGTACTTAAAAAAAAGTAATTTCTTCTGAAATAACTTTCACCTAATTTTTATGCATACAATTTTTCTTAGGAGGGGATGTCTACACGTGGAGCTGGAGGTGTAATTTTTAGCTCACGGAATTACCTGGGAGGGTACTAAAAATAGAGTGTAGCTGCAGCAGTGGGAGGGGCTAGCTGTCCCAAGTATGTACCTAGTGTCACAGACAGGTATGTACAATATTTGGGGTAGCTAGCCCCTCCTACTGCTGCACCTACACTATTTCTAGGGTGCTTGATTAGAGCTAGCATAGGTATGTCTCTCCGCAAGCTGGAATTTACATCTCCAGCTTGAAGTGCAGATATACCCAAAATCTTAAAAGCATTGCTCCATAGATGCTGGAACTACAGGTGCAGAGGGTGCTGCAGCCATAGGCATCGACTCCGTGGATGGTCCAGGGCTGGAGCATGGGGAAAAATTAGTGGGTGCTCTGCACCCACTGGAAGCCAAGATCCCCTCCCCAAGCACGCCGCGTCCCCTCTCCTCTGCCTACCTCCCAGCGCTTCCTGCCCAGCTGCCGCCAAACGGCTGGGAGGGAGCGGGAGGAGCAGGAACATGGTGCACTCAGGGGAAGAGGTGGGGCCAGGGTGAGGATTTGGGGAAGGAATTGGAATAAGGGCAGGGAGGGGGCGGAGTTGGGGCATGGCAGGGGCGGGGCCTTGTGGAAGGGGTGGAGTGGGTTGAGGCTGGGGGCAAAGGGGGGTCGAGCACCCACCGGGGAGAGCAGAAGTCAGCGCCTACGGCTGCAGCATCCCCCAACTTGAAATGGTTTCCATTATATACAGAATTTACAGTTTGGTTCAATTGCTTACAGCACCCCCACTATACAAATTGTTCCAGCACCCCTGCATTGCTCTGATTACTTCAGGTAAAAATCACCCTGTACAGGGGTCCAGCACAAGGCCTGTGCAGCACTTAAGTCCTATTTACAGAGCTCAAGCTGGCTCCTACTGAAATTACTGAAGGTGTTGCCATTTATCTCAAAGGGAGCAGAATCCAGCCCACAAGGCTTACAGGGGACTTACATGGTTCAGAAGGCTTTATGCTTGTCCTCA